CAAAGTTTTCTCTAAGTTTAATGAAGTTGAAATTTTTTATCACTTCCGTTTCGTGATTTTGTCGTAATTCCCGACAAGAAAAATTAAGTTTTTGCTCCTTCCAAAGAAGGTTTTGAAAAAAATGACCATTTTTCTCAGTGTTGTTGCCCATTTACTTAGATAATGATTTCTGATGGAATTTGGTTTAAACTTTACCTTGATATTTTCAAAAAGTTTTTAAACTACCGTATACCTAATTTGTTCACTTCCATACAAAAGCAGTAATCTTGTCTCGACTTATTTACTCGCCAAGGTTTTCTTAGAACAAAAATTTTTATAACGAGATAGAGAGAAATAAAAAAAGAATTTACCAACGTTTTCGCACATTTGTACATCACCACTTCGCCCTGTTCTATCTCTGCCTTGAAATTCAATTAGAAGTTGAACAAAGTATTGGCGGAATTTGTTGATAATATTGAGGTAGAAAACATAGAAACCAACACGCAAGAAGCACGAGAGATTATTGAGAAGGTCAAACTTGACTCTGATAAGAAAATCATTTCTTTAGATGTAAAAAATTTGTACACTATTGTTCCACTCAGAGAAGCTATCGACATTGCCGTCAGAAAATTTATGAACAGGAGAAATCCCCCGATATTGCACGCAATACTTTGAAGAGACTGCTTAAACTTGCTGTACGTCGAGTACACTTTAAGTGCAATGATTTGTGGTAGAGACAGAATCATGGTTTTGCTATGGGAGCTTCTGTTGCAGTCATTCTGGCAAACTTGTGTATGAAAGAGTTCAAAATTGTGTTGATGAAAGAAGTTCCCAAAATTTGCCAGCCAATTGAAGATCAAAACGGCTTCAGTCCAGAATGTAGGAAAAAATGTACCTATAGACAGAAAGGAGTTGAAGTTGAAAACTGTCTAAATTGGTTTTCATCAAAATTGTGGTAAGCTTCGAGAAATGGATTAATTGGGTTTCCTTGGCATGCTTTGAGCTAAGAGAAAGAAGCCACAACTCAGAGAGAAAAAAAACGCTTTCTAAGATATGTAAATTTTATTGTGAGAACTGTAGAAAGAGATCAGAAAAATGTTAAACTCGGCATATCAATTACATCCTAATCTACAGTACACTTTAGAAAAGAATACATGAAGGGCAGCTTAGCCTTCCTTTCATGAACGTTACTGTTGACACACGCAAAAACGTAGTCTGTACGGAGACAATTCTTAATTATAGGACCTGCGCTCCACTTTTTTATAAAGAACTTTCTAAAAAACGCAGTTGATCGAGTTTTTAGAAACAATTCAATTTGGGATAAGTTCGATGAGGCCGGGAAGGTAAAAAGAAAACAATGAGTGTACAACCAACACCTAGACTCTTGAACTCACAAATTTGTTTCAGGTAACCCCCTTGACAGACTGATCAATGGGAAAGCGAACAAGAGCCCTGGTAAGGACCTACATCAACGGAGTATTGATGATACAGGCACGCCAACAATGATGATGGCACAGTACCGAGGCAATGAACGTCTGATATGTACAAATAAGTTGCGGAACATAATGACCATCCTTAAAGTCTTCTTTTCCGCGTGGACTAATATCAAGGTTTCATGTTGTGGATCCAACTCCACCTATGTTGGCCAAACGGTTCGACGTCTTTTCACTTTTTTTGGCGAACACCGAAAAGAAGACTCACCCGTAGGACAACATCTAAGGCAGTGTGGAAATAAGGGTACGAGCCCGGGAATGTCATGGGATGTTACCGACCAAGCTAACACCAACGTCAAGCTACTGACATAAATACGCGCGATGAGTTCAAGATCAGCGAACTGACCCTTAAAATATAGTTCTAAAAAGGAAATTTGAAAAAACAATAAAAACTCAAAATGAAAATTGACTTGTTTCGAAATTGGAAAAGGGTAAAAATTGAAAAAGAAAAATTTAAACTTAGTTTAATTCAATGATAAAATTAACAGAAAGCCTCAGAAACTTAAATCTGATGATTAAATCATAATGCAATTTTGGCGCGAGATTCAAATTTGCAAAATTCTAATTGGTTGAACTTTCAATACTTTGTAGAGATTTGTAGGATATTTTCATGATCGATTATATTTTAAAAAATTCTTAACCTTTTTAAACCTGATGATGCACAAACATTATCTTGATTTTTTCACAAAAAACTTCAACTACCGTTTCCTTACATTGTTCACTTTCATACAAAAGGAGTAATGCACACAAGACTTTCTTAGTCACCCAGTGTGGCTGTACCGTATCAAAGAAAAAATGTCTGATTCGGTCCGTCGTATAGTTTGGTTGGTGAAACATTTTACAGTTAGCAAAAAAAACATAAATTTTTTAAAGAAGTTCAACAGGCAACGGCATTTTTCACAGTTCTCCTTGTTTTCACGTGCATTTCAAAGTATACAACCTCGTGGTAACCTGATTGTGATCCGCAGCTGACTTGTTATGAAATTTCCCTTGAAGAGTTAACTCGTTCTAGGGTACATTTTTGTACAATTCTGCGCGTTTCGAAAACGTGATTCGAAATCATTTCCCAATAAAGCGAGCTAAAAGTAAAACTTCAAAAAAGTATGAAGAAATCGGGTTGTCATTTTGTTGTTTCAAGTCTCTAAAGGATTATTCAGCATTTTTAGCTCCTTGTTTATCACCACACCCAACTTGAGAACTGCCGCGAAAACTTCTCGGACGTTTAGCTGCAATGTATCTTAGCGTCTTTCTGATGGCATTTATCCTATGTTTTTTTCCACTTTCATCAGAGGGATTGGTTTTGCTACTTTAGAGGTCTCATCAGTTTGGGTACTTAATCTTTGCCAATGTGATTTAGGAGCTTGGGAGCAGACTTAACCCGGTATTGCCATTATGTTCAATATCTAGATCTTTGGAAATATGAGGAGTTATTTTGTCCGGACCGACTCCTGGCCCTTTTAAAAAATACATCATTGAGTTGTGAACATCGAGATCAGTTGCAAAAAACTATCAACCCTCATCGGTTGTAAAACAATTTTTTCAGCTATTTTTCGATGCTTAGATAACAATTCTCATAGTTAGGAGTAAAACAAATTGGCACAATCTTGACATCGCCAGAGTTAAAACTGATTCTGAACTGTCGATAGGAACCTGGCTCGTTCAGCATTAACCACATATTATATGGGTCAGCAGTAGTCTCGTACCACAGTGTGGATCTCATTGAACGTCATCTCGCTTATGTTTTTTGGCGAAACAAGACTCCTCAACTTCTAGATTGCTTACTTTCCGCTTTGACTGAGGAAGAAATCTTTCCCTTTATGTTCTTCGGGATTTGCTCCGTCTTAAGCCTTGTCACTTTTCTTCTCTGAGCGTGCAACCATTACTCTTGAGGAAAGCAACCAACCAATCTATTGCCTCATCATATTCCGAAAGATCTAATGAGCGATTAGGGTTATTCACACAAGTTTCCAGACTGGACAGCACTATGGTGGTCCATAAGCTCGTGTTCATGGATAGGATTGGTTAATATCATGAGATTCTATCATGTTTGACACATTGTGACAGTTGGTTAAATTCATTTTATAAAAAAAGGACAGCAACAAATAGAATTGTTTGTGAACCAATTTTCTACGCTTCAACAGATCAAGTAATTTCATAGATTTAGTTTATCAGCTTATGTAATTTTATTCATGTTAAAAGTTTTAACGTGGATGATTTCTTAGATCATCAAAAAATTTACAAAAAATTGATCAAAAACGGCAGTTCTTACCTGTTTGTTCAAAAATTCGTCAAAAAAGGGTCTTTATAGTGTTCTGGGAGCGTTCGGAAAAGCACATTGTTCGACGCAAAAATTTGGTGGGAAAGTTAAACCAAAAGTTTTTTGAAATTCCGACCCCCCTCCTCTCTCTCTCTCTCTCTCTCTCGAGCAAATCCTAGATCTGCCCCCGTCTAAATAAGTTGTAAACATTTTCTTATTTTTATTATGATTTTTATTTTTAAGAAAATTGTTATCAAAAATGGATTCTGTTCTTTTACAAGTGATATCATTCCTTTTTAGTAAAAAACATCAATCGCCATCTGATATCCGCATGAAAAACATTGACCTGGTAAATTTCAAAAGAATTAATGTTTTTTACAGTCTATTTTGAAAAGGCATTCGACAAAAAACAGATAATAATACTTAGCTAGCATTTACTGCTTTTTGGCGCAATGCGTCTTAGAAATGGGTGATTAAAAATTTGCTTAAATTTCATTTTTATGCTCTTATAATGATCGAAAGAACTAAGCCGGAAATTGTTTGCATCCTTATTTGTGTACAAAAGAGTCAATTTAACAACTCAGATCGCAACTCGCATTTCCTGACATAGTAGTAGTAGGATACAATAAAAGAGAATCATATTCAAATTTATTCAGCCAGCGAGCCACCAATAGTACTTTAATTCCTACCTAGGAACGCCCTTAAGAGAGCAGGGGTAGATCAAAGGCGGGTGTCTCTTCCTTTTTTCGTTGAGGGGTAAAGATGGGTACCTGTTTTTACCCAATTTCCCAATTCGGTTAGTTATGGTTCCCATGAGTGCCATTTGACGGCCAGCGAGATTTACAACAGGCTCTTTTCGAATTCTAACAACCTGCTGTTGTTGTAAATTTGTTAAATGCGCTCTTTTATCCGGCTTTTCATTTTCTATTCTAGTTATCCTTCGCGCTTTTGCGGGATCCAAGTTTTTATCCCTCCTTGGTGATAACAATATGAATACAATTTAACGCATCCCGATAAGTTTTACCATTGCCACAAAAAATATAGTTAAGATGAATGTATGAAAGCCCCATAAACCGATATTTTCAGAAATCAAAATCTCTTGAAGTCGTTGCTTAAAAAATTTTGAATAGAAAGAAAATTATTTCTGTGATTGTAAGGTTGTTTTAGTGAAAGGTAGTTGTTGCTGTTTTGCTCAGTTGAAAACTAACTAACATTTAAATCTAAATTAACTTTGATAAAGCAAATATTTAAACTTATTTAGAATCATTGCGAAGAAAAAGAGAGTAGAAATAGGACTTAAAAATGATTCTATAGCCGTATAAAATGAATTTTTAAGCAAATGCTTATGCTTTATTATTTTAATTAATTAACCATTAAACGGACATCAGTTTGAAATGATCAGAGAGTTTGTTTCGATGTTTCGAATGGAATGCTTGGTTGCAGATGTTTTTTTTTCACCTCCAATGGAAAACCTTCAGTTGAACTTCTTTTCTTGGCCTCATTGTGTAAAAATGCTATTTTACAGATCTTTCATCAATTTTAGGGCACGTTTGCTATTTTTTTGCAGACTGCTGTTGATTAAAGCTGGTAGTTTTTCGATCCAGTTTAGATCTCGTTTGTATATTGCACTTAAAGTTGATAGTTGAGTTAGTTTCAATATTTGAAATGAGTAATCTCAAGAAGAGATCCCGTCGATAGTTTAATCTTCAGATTTCTCCACTCAATTCTGACACGGGGGGTGAAAATCAGGGATATCCTTCATTTCTTCATAGACCCTTCAGTTTAGCCCAGGTGGGTCGAATTAGGTCCAACCGAGCTGATAAGTTGTACACACCTGTGTTTTCGGAACCCAGGACATAAATTTCTTCTGGCTTCGCACTTTTGGGTATGAGTTTCTTCTGTTTTGCAAATTGGGGTATAAGTGTTGACGATGTTTGTTTCCGGGAAGGGGAGACAGCACATTGCAGGTATTTCACAAGTATTTCACAGGGTTCAAACAGACCTAAATCGACTTTGGAGTTGGATCATAAATTAGATTGCGGTGCAGGCGAACAGTGTGTTAGTCTTCGCATATTTATTTGTAACGTTCCAGTGTGAAATTCAAGTGTCATTCAAACTCGCCTTTCATTCAGTCGGCGTTGTAAATTTTATCTCCGATTTTCGTCTGCGCCACAAATGCTTCCTGTTACCTGTGGCTGGTACTTTAATTGTGTATTGTAAATTTATTGAAAAATTTCCAAGTTGTAAGCTGGAATTGTACGACTTGTTTGAGTTGGTTTAAGTTTGTTTTTGTTGTTTTTATTTGAATGTACATTTATTCACTCTAAGATTTCCAGCTGCGTGGCTGCGGCGACTGAGCTGTGAAGTGTTCTCGAATCCAATTTACGACTGGCGTTTCAGACTCTAATCGAATTAAACTTCATCTAAAACAACCCAGATCCTAATCACCTTTCGCCATGATCCGCCAAGAACCCCAGCTGCGACAAAACAATCCCGTTTGATCTACTTTTGGGTATCCATATCAAACGACCAACTTAAACCCAGTCAAAAGAAAGAATCCGCTCAAATCTCAGCACCCAAATTGGAACCCCAGATCAGCTCTCAAACCCCAAGTCAAGTCTCTTTCTTTTAAATTCGTCAAATCAGATTTCCAAGTATCTCGCATAACTCGCTCCCGTTTCTTCTTTACTATTGTTTGCGACAAAATTGAGTCAAGTTAACCCTATTGAAAACTCCAGACTAGATCTCCCCACGTTGAGTGAAGGAAAACAGGGTTCTCAGGTTCCTCGAACTTCAAATAACCGACTCTAATCTGACAAATCAAGATCTTCCTTTCATTCCAATTTCAGAATCGAATTTGTGAAATCCACCCTTTAAAGTCTGTATGTCTAATTTCAAGAATTTCATTAAACTTGAAACTGTGTACAAGTTTTAAGGAGGTTGAAATTTCTAATCTTGCGGTCAGCCGAAAATTATTACTTGGCTTCTGGCCTATGTTCGTCAGAAGCGGTGCTCTGAAAAAAGTTCAGTTTCTTGAGCAATCGCTGAAGTGGTTTGAAAAAAAACAGGCTTTGTTCAACTTTTTCCGCCAGCAGGTAAATTGATTACAATATAGGGTTGCAGTGATATCGTACAAAAATAGTTCTCTGTAAAACGTTCTCTGATTGAGGTTTATGAGCTAAAAGTTGTCCTCATTTCAACGAAGAAAGGTTTATGAAGTACCGACCATTACGTAACTATTGCGTTGATGATTACGTAATTATCATGACATCTTCGCCCCGTATAACTCATTCGAAGGCGGCCGTAGTAAGCTATTGTTTTCGCTTTTGATTAGAGGTAACTGAACACCGTTATGACATGTGTTTTGGGAACCAGGTGATAATGATTGGTGTTTAGCAGGTGACCTTAACTGGTTTTCTTCATCTTCATCGTCTATTTCATTATCGGAGTCTTCGATGTCTGAAGAACTGTGATTCCCGCCTCCAGGAACCTTTCGGGACACCTTTCGTTCCTTAGCTCGTCGGTTCTGGAACCAGATCTTAACTTGTCGCTCGCTTAAGCCGACTTGCATGGCCAGTTCGGACTTGCGTCGGATGGTGATGTATTGCGCACTTCGGAATTCGTTCTCGAGTTCGGCTCGTTGACGGTCGGTGTAGACAACTCGATATTTGTCTTTTGTTCTTGTCTTTCCTAAAAAATAAGAAAATTTGACAAATTAATTCGGCGATTTATTTTATGGAACAACATGAACCTTCATTTTCCTCAATAAACATGCATTGAAAAAGTATTTAGAATTGACCTGCTTATTTACACAGCAGATGAGTTTTCATTCATACTTTGAGTGAAGAAAAACAATAATAAATTAGGATAAAATTCAATCGATTTGAATCGGCTCATTAAAGATGTCGAGTGTTTATTGTTTTCAGAGGGTCTTCTTCCGATTCAAGCCACTGGAATGCGACAGAATAAAATCACTGGTCTGTGGAAAATTTTCCCACTTTTAAGAAAGGAGTTTTTATTGATATGACACCTTTTGCAAGACACTAGAGATTTGTACACCATGGTCGAGGATTTTATATGTAGCAGACTCGCTCAGCTTAAGATAATTTACGATGAGTAAAAATCAGTCAATTGATAAATAAATTCACCTAAGCTACGATACAATTTTGGCTCACATTAGAAGAAAAAATTTAAAAAAATAGCCAAAAATGAGCTTTTAGATAATTAAAAATTATTGTTATGTTCTAATGAAAATAATTGCTCAGGGTAAACACTTTTTGTGGAAAAATTAACTCCTTTCAACTTTTCTTTCAAAAAACAGAACAAAAATCTGCGCACTCTTTAGATCTTTGCAGTTTAGCCTTGATTTTTCAATTGAAGATTAAAATATGATTATTTAATTGCTGCTTGCCGGGATAATAACCGGGCGAATTAATCCAAAAAAGTGTTAACATATCAATGATTGTTGGGTTAGAATTTAGTTCTTAAACTGTGTCAGGTAAAGAAAGGCTGCTGATTTTTTAATCAAAAATACTAAGCCTTCCTTTGAAGTCTTAAATTCCTCATTTTGCCGATTCCCATTCGGTTTAGATTTGGGCAAAATTAATCACGAAATGGGGAAAAGAACACCCTAAGATGTTTGCGCACAAAGTCTATTTTCAGGTCACCGAGGCAAATTTTGAGACAAATCCAAATTTCTGACGTAATTACGAAAATTTGAGTCATAAACATAACTACGCATTCTAAATCCTAGTCAAAACTTTTCCTGTGTTTAGCCGTTTTTATAATCTTTTAAACTAGAACAAAACGAGATTGAAGATTTTAAGACCTATTTTTCAACAAGTTCCGGTTTATATTAAACCAAGTCAAACACTTAGTTTATAAGTTAATTGCCAAAAGAGCAATGAACCACTAAAGCATGTCTTAAGATACACCTTTTCTTCTTCTTCTTAAACAGGTGATTTTTGAGGGAGAAGAAAGAAGGCTTGCGGAGGCTTCTAATTTAAAATCAATTCTAGTTGCGCTACTTGCATCGATGTTAAAACGATTAATTCATCAATTTTAAGTTGCTCTCTTAATTTTTCTCTCTTCTGTATTTCCAGGGTTTTCCAATTGCTAAGAGTTAATTTAAACATCTTTTTGCGCAGGTTGTTTCGGGTTAGCTACCCTTTAGCGCGGATTTCTAGCAGATGAGACCAGAAAGTAAACGGTTGGGTAAAATTGTTTTTTAGCAAATTCAGATTTATGTTTGGAGTCCCAAATTGCTCTAAGGTGTGAGCAGGCTATAAAAGTGGGGAAAAGTTATCCTAGCCCAACTGATTGGACGGAACGCAGTGTGCACTGGTGTATCCTGCTATGATCACAGGTAATCTCAGGTGGAGCTGATTAGACTAACTTTAACTACCCTTTGCAGTTAGGCCCGATTGCTAATTAGGTGTTAATGGTTATTTAAAACAATCTTTAATGTATATTCTTAGATCCCCACATAGTATCGTCTCCCCCGCTGCGTCCCGCGTCTCGGCCAAGTTCAAAGTCGAAGGGAGTCTGGGTTGGAATGGGAAAAAGAGGAAAAATGGAAAAAAGGGGGTGATTTCTGGATTTGCTGGACATCAAATGGGGAGATAATCCGGCGTTAATGTGAGGCGAGGGGTGCCAGTCTCACACATTAGGGGGACATCATGCTAACAAGGATGATCTGGTCTCAATTGCAGCTTTCAATATGCAAATTTTTTACAAGTTCAAACTTTAATTTTGAATTTTTTCATGTAGCTTATTTTCTTAATTGTGCGATTCTATCCTCTGTTTCTGGCTTTTTTCAAGTTATTACTGATGTTTAAAAAAAAATCGAACAAGAACTGTTATTAAAAAAAACTTTAAGAACCTCACAATAAATCAAATCTGTTCAATTACAAAAAATCGCAGAAAACTTGTAGGAAAATGACAGTTGCCTTCTCGATATTGTTCGTAGCAATTTGAGTTTTCGTGTCATTCTTTTGACCGGTTTTAAAACAGGCCTTCATAATTGACCTCTGCTTTAATTTTCCACCCTTTGCTTTTTATTAATTTTCATTTAGTGGTAAGAATTGGGCGCGAACAAAAACTGTCCAATAATGTTTGGTTTATGGCATGTTTTAGTGCGCCTTAAACAGGCAATCAGGGACGGAAACATATAAAATACAATTTAGTATAGATGATCGTACATTTCTGTCGTGTTTTAGAAAGCCAAAAGCTGAAAAAGCTTAAAAGAAGAGGTTAAATATGATCAAAAAAGCGAGGCCAGGTTGTATCGTGAGGTCGTAAAATCATAAAATTCATTGTTTTTTCTTCACGCTGGGATTTTTCACGTTTCTGATGTGTGATCAAATTGAATGCATGTGCATTTTAAACATTGACAGTCATCTGTTTTCGCTACCGGCGAAGAGAAAAGACCAGGTGCATTATCAAGCAGAGAGAATCATAAAAAGACATCGTTTTAAACACATTCAATCAACGCAGAGCGGGAAAAGAATCCAACTTATATACATCCCTGTAACTAAAATACAAACAAATCAGAAACCACTTTGCAAAGCAACCAAAAAGGAAAGCATCGAAAAAAGTGAAGTCATAATCATCTTGGGATTGAGAATAAATTTGAAAAAAAAAACTGTTGATAATTTTTGGCGCATTTTTTGAGCAAACTTTCCCATATTTATGACATAAATGGAAAAAATAGCTGTTCTTCAAACAAACTGGTACTATGAGTGTGGCATAACTGTTGAATCATTTTTAAAAATTTTTAAAAATATAGCTTTACTGAAATATACTGAAAAAACATTAAATCGAACAATTAGCTTCGGGACAAAATAGGATGACAACGTTTAGAAAAGCTTAAATGTCCATTTACTAATACTGCTGCGCAGAAGGGATTTTGAGTTAAAACTTCCAAAGTCCGAAGTCAGTACAAATTAACTGAGCGACAGTTAATCTTCTGGATTTTTCCGGCCAAATCGGCGCTGGCGGCCGTAAAACATGGATTTTGGTCAAATCCGGCTGCTAGTAAAAGCACCCAACGCAGTTTCTTTAAATCAGCCTGGATGTTGCTACAACAATAAAAGCGTTGATGAAAAATCGATGAAGCTTCACTAGGACAAAATCAATTATACAGCTACTTTCAACTGCAAATCAAAAATTGGGCAATTTTGTTCTTTAATTGAAATTGATGACCTAAAAAACGTCTAAAAATGTTTCGAAATTATTTCACAAATAAAAATGATGGCCAAAAATCAATCTCAAAAGGGTTTTGAATTTATGTCAGAATCAAGCGACCTTTGTTTTGTGAAATTAAGCTCTTTCTTAGGCATTATGCTTTTTCGAGGTTTTATAAAGAGTTTTAATAGGCCTGGAAGCTGCAAGAAACAAATGACATAATAAATTTTGAAAGTTCAGGGGTTTAAGGGGCTGAAGGAAGCTTCCATATGACTTTTAGAAGAACTCATTTTGCCATGCAATTTTGCCAAAAAATTCAATAATCACTATTTATGGCAAATTCGTAGTCTTAAAACATCTTGGTTCTCATTAAGAGTTCAAATGAGTCAAAAATTCCAAATGAAGAGACAAGACGTATACGGACACCTATCATTACTGAGACATCAAAGCAATCACGGTCGGCATAATGCGTGATATAGACGAGAATATACATATAAGCGAAGAATGACAATTGGAGCAAAAATTCAAAGTTATATTAAGATACTAATGCGAATTAAAACTCATTTACAATACCACAATAATAACTTACAATTCAACCACTTAATCGCTTTGAACTTTTTTAATTGGTCACTCAAAAAACACAAAAGTAGACAAAAGTCAGCATAAGGTATTTTCCAGACCAAAGCCAGATATCTGGAATTCCTGTTGCGCTAAAGACTCAGCGTTCTAGATGTAGAAGCAATAGCAGTTTGAAATTTAACATTTTCAAGAGACTAAAATTTACGCAAAATAAATAATTGCAGGTATTTTGACCGCCAGATTAAAGATGTTTTCTTTGAAGTAGCTGTAATCTTATACTTTGTTTTGCGATTTTTTTTGGGAAATACTACAATTAAGAAGATAATCCATACGCTACTTGAAGATATGATAATATTTGATCCTAAGTTTTTGACGACAAAGCTCGACAAAAAAAGGCTGGAAAAGATTAAGATCGTGGTTTTGTGGTTGGTTACCGAAAAGAGGAAAACAGCGAAGATTTGGTGGTTTGTTTGTTTTCCAAAATATTGCAAATATGAAGCTAACAACGGTGTGTGATTGTTGTAGAGCTAATTGCAAGCTACATCAAAACAAAAATCATGAAAATGGGTTAAAAAAAGCAGGTAAAAATCTATCACTTTATGAGAATTTTTTTTTTGTAAGTTCCCCTTTAAATGTCAAACTAGATCATAAAAAACTTTATACAATAAAATTGATCATTTTAACCAAAGAAAACAGTAATTTTTTTTCTAAATTACTAACCGGTTGTTGGGTTATATCTGAAAGTTGAACTGGAGTGATCCCCGTACATCTCCGCTGCCGCGACTGATGCAGCATAGGGATGGTGTGGACTGACGAATGGGTTTTGACCCGGATGTACCCCTGGATGTCCGCCTGGTGCCATGGGGTTTCCGGCTGCCGGGTGTGTCATGTAGAATGGCATGGCGTGCATGGCGGCTGCGGCTGCTGCGGCGGTGGAGTTGTGGTGGTGTTGTGCGGCTGCGGCGTCTCCTCCCGCAACCACGGCATTCATTATGTTCAGGTTGCATCCTCTGTACGCGGCCGCAACCTAGAAAGAAAACAAGATTATTTAAGCTTTTCTTTTAAACGAATTCTCCACGAGAGAAAAAGGATCAAAAATCCAGCTGTTGTAATGCCCCTATACTTAAGAAGTAAATGCATTTGATTATTTTTTTTAAAAATTATTTCTGTTATTTCTATTTTCTATAAAAAACTTATTTTAATTATAATTTTACTTTTAACGTCTTAAACGTCAAATCATTTTTTCGTCTGAAAGCTGAAACTGAACTTTTATTATCAAAAAACTGAAATCAAATATATGCGCTTAAGACCACTATTGAGATAGAATTTTTCTAAACGCTATCAGCTTGAAAAGATGAGCTGAGCTAAAAAAAAAAACATCAAAAATGTTCATAATTTTTTTAAATAGTTTTATTTCTCTTTTAACCTAATTATTTTACGCATTCCAAACTTTGTTGAATATTCTTTCACTTTTTTGTCAATACGTTTCGGGAAAAACTGTTTTTATCTAATTTGAAGAAAACTGTAATTAAATAATTTGTGTTTATTTACCTGTTCAGCGGATGTGAATTGCGTGCCGTACGCATTCCTGGCGTGCGCCCACGATGCATTCGGGTGAACAGCCGACGCAGCGAACGAGTTGCGAGAGGCCGGGTGCATCATGCCAGTCGCCTGGTTATGACTCGCGGCCGCAACAGCCAAGTAGGAGTTGGGCATGGTCGGTGGCCAGGCTCCGGCGGCGTCGACCGAGGCTGCATTCTGAGCCGCTGTTCGGAGCTCGGTGAACTGCGAGTGAGGGTTGTTCGGGTCGACTGGGCTATGATCCGAGTGGAGTTTCAACCCTGTCGGACTGTGATGGTCGGCTGCGAACTTCAACGAGTGATGAGTGTTGCCGGACAGTCCGGGTATGGTGGATCCGGATCCCGGGTAGTTGCCGGCCGGGTTGTTGACGAGTGCACTGGACGCGACATTGGAGAAGTTGTGTGCTAGGTGATGGATCCAGCCGGTCTGGATGGATTCCCGGCTCATACTGTCGATGACTTCGGAATTACCACCGTCGAGATGCATTTTATTGCGAATATTATATCAAATTTACAACGTAATGGCCGTTACAGACCAGAATTGCGGCTATAAATGTGGTTGTAAACGAGTTTTAGAGCTGATCAGAGCTGGCAATATAATTTTTGAAAAAGTCTGGATCCGGTTTATGGTTCTGTGCAGGATTGTATGAAGCTTTTGTGTGATACTCTGTTCTTCTGCTTTTTTCTCCCTTCGGGCGGCGAGCAGTTAGATCTATCTTGTCAAATCAGAATTCAACAAGCCTCTCTATGCTTTAAACATATCATAAACACGCCAGACCAATAGAATTACGACTTCGCAATACTCGATTCTGATTGGCCAATGAACCACAGGTAGGTATATTCCCGATTCTTTCAACAAGAACAGGTATTCTTCCAAAGTGCAATCTCTTTTGTACTCTTAAGCCGAAAAATGGATTTATCCGCGGTTGTTTTTCCTTTATTTTCTCTGTACAATAAGTAGGCGACAACACCGACACCCTTTGAATTGACTTAAATTGTAGTCTAATAGTATAATAGTATTGTAGTTGTTGTAGCCTGCTCTGAGGTATGGGAATTATTTTGATGTTTTGATTAGCTAACTGGAAAATTCAAAGATAACTAGAAAGGTAATTTAGAGTGCGGTTCGAATTACTAACCCGTCGTTTACCTTTCAATCTATCAGGAATTAATGACCGAAATATGTTGATTAGGTTCGATCAGATATGATAAGCGAAAACATCAACAGGTAAGCTTAAGGAGAGTCCGATTATTTTGGGGATTCCAGGTAGTCAAAATGGGGTCGTAATTGTATCAATCAACAGTGTGTTTCCACTTGGACTCCTTACAGAATCATTAGCTGATGTTCGATCAAAATAAAAGCGTTTTTTTTTTTGAAAAAAAATAATTTGGAAAATCTAGTATATAGAAGAGTAATGGTTATATTTATTTTCTTCTAGAATTTATGCGGATAACTTTGCATGAATTGGAAGGCTGAAGCTTAAATTTTTCTGATTTCAACAGGTTAGAATTATGAAGTTTCGGGTCAGCTTTTTGAACATTTTTATAGTTTTTGAATCAACATAAAAATGCACTAGCTATTAAGTAAATGACATAAAAAGTCCATGAAAGGGTAATTGTTTTATTGATGATTCGTTCTAAGTGTGTGACGTTTTTCGAGTAATCTCGACTTTTATTATCATGTTTTGATTATTTTCATCGGAACATTGACTTCGTTTGATGATCCGAAACTTAACTTGGCCGATGAGCATTCGATCGAAAACTTGAAAGAGTTGTAATTGATGTTCTGGACGTGCGAAGTGGCTCTTCGCCGCCGGCTGAAAAATTGGTTTTGGTTTGAGAAGTTTATTGAAAAGAAAACAAAGTACAAGGCAGAGCCGCGACTTATTTGATTGGTATAAATATCAAAGACCAGGTGTATTATTGCCGATATTTAAAAGTTATAACAATTGTCTCGAAGCGTTTTCAGCAATTACAAATGACAATCTGAATAGCAAATGGCTATTTGGATTGTAAGTTTTCGGTCTAAAAGACGACAAAAAATGAGACGAAAACTTATTGTTGCCTTAAAATATATCACAAAAACGGCATGCAAATTGAAAATAGTCTACATCATTAATTTATCATCAAGCTTTAAAAAAATTATTTGAAACTTTTCAACTGTAAGGCGACAGAATTAAAAGATTTTTTTTCTGCCAAATTCTTGGCATCATTACTGAATTTTCTGGAAATTTAGACATTTTTGTCAATTGCCTATGAATTATTGGTAACGGGCTTCAAATGTCCCCTCAACAATTTTGTTGGTCCAAAGTATTTATCTATCGCCCTAATAGCGTGTCGTCCTACTGTTTTGTCTTCTGGTTTGGCGAAAGTGTGCCGGATAAACGAGCATAACCATTGATAATGTGACTTCAAAAGAAACTCGCCGAAGACACAAATACGCGAGACTATCTGAAATGCCAGTTAGAGCTCAAAAGTTGCTTTTTGAAGTTTTTATGAGCTGTTTAACAAGAAAGCGTTAATTAAAGCTATCCGATTGAGATATATTTACAAAGACTTCTGATTCCAACAAAACAACATGTGTTTTTAAGGTTAAACACATAAATATAACACTAACAGATCAAGTCCCTCAAACCCTAATGCCTATCTAAAATTTACCCAATACACCCCCCCCCCCCTGTTTTCTTGGGACTGTTTGAAGGTCCCCTGCCTCAACTCTCAACTACGCTAGTGTATATAGAAGTAACGCATTTCGCCTCTAGATTTTGACAAACAATTCCCTATAAATGTTTGTTTTTGAACACTGAATAAAGCTCTCAAACTAGACATCTGAAGAAAACTTGATACTGCAGAGCTCACTTCTTGAAATTACAAGAAAAGTATTGGCCGCCAAAACAAAAACACAATAAACCACTGAAATAAAGTCAGAAAACAGAAAAGAACTCTCGACAGCCTCGAAACATTTACAAAACCCAGAAAAAATTACAGGGGTTCTAAAAGATTAAGCTAGTGGCATTTAACAACAAGCTGGGCTTTTATGCTCTTTGAGAGGAGCATTTTACTTGTCTAGACCTCTTTCATCTTAGGGTAAACAGAAGTGCAAATGGGTAATAGGTGCGTTCAGTTTGTTAGGTATTTCCAAGGGGTACGGCTGTCTCTAGGAAAAGTGACGAGTTGTCGCGATACATCTGCTGCATCTGGCTGCTTGTAGGAGCGGTGGTAAAGTGCTTACGTCTCTGCTTCTCAATCGAAAGGTCGGATGATCGAGGCCCACCATGATCCGTACTCGTTGCCTGAGGGTGAGGCAACATTACCCAGCCCAGAAAAATAACCAAAAAATTGCAACTAGTTCTTAAGCAGACGCACAACAGCGTTTCTGCGTTATGAGGTTTCCCTTGTGGATAAATCGTTTCAAAAAGGTTTACTGACAACCGAGAAGATCCTTCTTGACAAGTGATCATCTGACGCAAACGATGATTGCCTTTTAGCATTTTTCAGACAGTAATCAATTATAAGGAAGGAACTTTGTACTAAAGTGGTTTTTTAACGTGATTTCAGAAACATCAGAGAAAGTATAAAAGTGAGTGAAAGATAGAAAAAAAGTCATATTTGTTAAGTTGAAGCTTTCTGCCTTTCCATGTTTAATTTATCTTTTCGCTCATTGACGTGAAACCTCAAGTTTTTGAGACAGTTTTCTTTTTGGTAATGGTCTTGATATGAATTTATATTTTGAGCTTGAGTTGAACAATATGTCGTAGTTTTTGAAACTTTCATCGGTTGACAGTTTAAACAAGATTGCCGGTTGCTGTGCAATTAACACAGAAAGTTCCGACCACAGATTTAAAAAAAAAACTATATTTTCTATTTTTTTTTCCTCAATTTGATTAGCTTTTTAGCACCTGCTTAGAGCAGATCAGATAAGTTCAAAGTTTCTTAGAACTTAAAAAAGAATTTTGTTTAACTACAGTTATCTGAGCAAACTATTGACTAAAAATCAAATCAATTTAAAAGTTTTTGCATCCTTTATGAAACGCTTAGCCAAGCTTTGAGAGTTAGTTTTCCACAGCTATAAACTCGTTATTTTGAAGCAAACTTAAAAGCTGCTCTTATTTGAAAGCAAACTTATTGCTTGCTTATTTGCTTTATTTACTCCAAAATAACTGAAAAGCATCAAATTAAATGATGTTTCCGACAGAAGTCGAGCGATGCAAGACTGAAAGAGTTTTAATACGATAAACAATGGGAACCATTCTGATGATTGTTTAGTGAACCTGATTATGGGTAAAAGCAAAAATTTTTTAACACACCCAATCACAGAATCCGTCCATTTTTTCTGGTCGGTACAAAAATAAATTGTTAATCAGTTTTTGCATATACCTGTAAACTTTAACTGCAGGGACATTAGAACTTTCTGTAAAAGTCTATAATTCAAGCTACTACTCGTACCTGAGGGTAAACATTAATCGATTTGACTAAAAAAACGGGGCCTAGGAAATTAGACGACAAGCAAATTAGACGGATGCTACAAAAACGAATTTAGACGGAATTTATTTTTTACAGATCTGGCATTTTCGACGAAAAAGCTATGAAAAGGATAGGGCCAACAAAATTTTTTCTTAAGAGTGAAGTTTCACAAATACAAAAAGAACATAAAATGTCAATACCTATCGAAACAAATAGTTTAAATGAACAAAAAATGTCAAATCCGAATATTAAAAGAGAATTTTGAAGTGAATAAATTATGCATGATTGACTTGTAAAGTTGTTAGCCACCGAAATTGAACTGTAGTCTACAAACAATTTTATTTTATTAACGCAATTTGTGTGCAAACAAAGTTAATTTCTCTCACTTTCGTCTATTTTCTCACAATTGCAGTTTTGCAAAACCGTCTAATTTCCTTTTAAGTACCTCCGTCTAATTTGCTTATCGTCTAAGTTATCAACCCCCAAAAAAACACATGCTTGAGCTTTCTTTGAGAGAAGAATTAAATAAAATTCAACAAACCTGTCCTTAACCCGTTTCTTTAATCTGGAAAACCATTTCAATTATCACTGAATGTTGCCAAAATTTGTTCTAGTAATGCCATCGATTAAATCTGGTTTAATCAAAATATTGTTTCGTCAGCTGAAACTGGAGAGGATCGTTTTTTGTTCGTGCGTATTTTAGCTTGTTTTTTAACTACTTTTTCACGAAAAGTTAGGTGCTACAATTAATTATTAGAATGACGTTTTTGAGTTGTTAGGCTTTCTATTTTAATTGAAGCGAGCAATTTGCAGTTGTTAGAAAAAAATTAGTTGTTCAGGCCATGGAAAATTTTAGTTTTATTCTAGAAAATTTCAAACTTCGTTTCAGCTTCTCGGTCAGTAAAAAGTTTCGTGAAACCAAATAAAAATCTAGAAATTGGAGAAAATGTTGATTGTTTTTTGCTCTATTTTGATTTAGAAAAAATCATTGTTATTGATTAAAAGTGTTTTCTTAAAATTTCATATTTTTCTTTCCCCTCATCACACCTCGCACAGAAAACGACACAAATTAGAAAAATGGGGAATTGTATTTGTTTGCTGTTTTTTTTATGATTTTGATCGAAACTTTCTGTGCACCTTTTACAGCAACCAGCTATCTTTGTTGAATTTTGTTCTTAGGTCCTTAGTAAACTTGTCGATTTTATATTTTCATATTTCCAAGATCAAGTTTATCACCAGTCATCATTTTCTTAGCTAACTCATATTCGCATTTCACAAAAAAATCAGAACTTCTCGACAACTCTCAAATTTAAATTGATGGCCAATTCTAGAATTCTGCGTTCTGTTTGCTGCGTTTTCCAATTGCGGAAAATAGGTATCGACATTATAAAAGAATTGTTCAGATCACTGACTATGTGGAGGAATTGTTTCATCTGAGATTTTTTTAAATTTTCCTCCCAAAATCATGAGCTACAAAGAGTCATCACAAGGGTTCGATTTATATATCATACTAAAAATTTTCAGTTGGGAATTTAACGTCCTAAAAAAATTTAGGAGGAAAAATTTCATCGAGGAAAAAATCCAATTTTTGATGTTTAGTCCAGCACCAGGTTTATAAAGCTAGCAAGCAGGCTTATAATCGGGCAATATATTTTAGTTGAGCCTCAAAAATGGATAGTGACTCCAATAAGCTCATAAAAAATGTTTGAAAAGTTGTAAAAAAAAAGTTAAAAATTTTATTTTTTATTTTCAATTTTGGAAAAATTTTGGTCAAATATCCCTCATTTAAATTGCTTCAATGTAATCTCAGAGTTTCATTTTTTTTCATCATTTCATAACCCCATTTATATAGGATTGAAACAAAATGTTATTTTTATTCCGATCTTTGAAAGCGGGAAGGATTTTGTACTTCGATGTCTTTCAGTTTTTTAATCTTTTTTGTCCACGCAAAATCAGATCCCACAAATAATCATCGAACAAAATTGAGT